CCGAGGACCCGCCCAAGCCTCTCCGTACAGGCCGGAAAACACCCTCACCAGCCGCAGAGGCCATCCCTCCACCATCCACGGCAACACCCCGGACGTGCAACGGCGTCGAGCGAGCGCACTCGACCAAACTCGACCACCGAGCCCGACACCCCAGGCCGAGTCCGCGCACATCACCCCGCAAGCGACGCCGCGCTGCCCGAACACTTCAGACACGTACGTCACGCGCACACGACGCACGTCCCACGCGCACAGCCACGTCGCGCACGTCCTGCGCGTCGCACGCTGCCGACTCCGCGGCCCCGCCGCCCGCTTGCCGCCGCTCTCGCGCTCCGCCATCGCATCCGGTACGCCCACAGATAGAACGGTACGCTCCCATGCACCAGGGCGCATACACCCACGCGTTTTGGCGGCGATCCGGAAAGAAAATATATTTCTTGTTCAGGCCGATTTCATTGGCGAATCCGACGACCACATCAGAAATTTCCGCGTCGCGGCCGCCCCTCCCGTTCGGACGCTGCGAAACTTGGCGGACGTGTGCTCGTGCACGTTCCGCGTCGACTATCGTCGCATGCAACCGCGTAGGACCAAGCTGTAGCTCCACCTCGTCGCGGAGGCTCTCTCGACACCCCGCCGCCCGACACATCACAACTTCGCCGGAGCGTGTCGTAAAGACCCGAAACGCGACGCATGCTATGTGTAAACCACATACAAGGCATTCACGATACGGCCGCGACGCCAACGCGTGCAGAACGGGCTCGGCGAAGTACGAGGTCTGCCCCCAACCGCCACTTTCCGTCCCCCTCGCGCGCCAGCATCGCGTCCGGGCCGCGCCCGAACACAACTACGCCCTCCCATGGAACAGGGCGCACCCCCACACGAAGTCTCGGGGCGATACGAAGAGGGTGAAAATCGCATCTTCGGCGCGATTCCATGGGCGACCTCACCGCGCGATCGCAAAAACGCGCATCCCCGCCCGCCCACGCCTCCTCCCGCCGCGCCATTTGGCACCAGCACCCCTGGGCACGGCCTGCGACCTCGCCTGCTGCGTCTCAGCGCGTGGGACGAGATCGTAGCTCGCGGCGGGGTTCGGGAGACCGCGCGTGCAGCGACGCCGAGGCACCGCCGGCGCGGTCCACCGAGCCCCGCAAGCGAGGAGCTTCGAGCGCACACCACGAAGACGGTGTGCACGCTGAGAAGACGCAGTCCGCGTACGCGGAAACTGCGTCGCGGGCGCGAAGGGTACGCGGTCGTCTTACCTCGCGTGGGCCCATCCTGACCACAACCCCCAGGATACCACCCACCTGCCTGTGCGCAATCTCGTGCGCCCGCTCTCCGGCTGCACACGGCCACCGACGGTCCGCGAGCGGGCGCACGAGCCGGGTGAGAGCACCCGGAGGACGCGGGGAGGTCCATCACCGCCGTCCCCGCCCTCGTCCCCGCCGCTCGAGACGGCCCGCAGCGATGTACCTAGCTACGTGCTACCGTAATACACTCGTTTTCAGCCGCCCCGCGTCCTTCCCTTCCCGCTGTCCGATTCCCCCGCCGCGTCGTGGTCTCCTGCGCGTGCCCCATGTCTTCTTGGTGACGTGCCGCGGTCGTCGAGATGCCGCGTGCGTCGAGACACGAGGCCACGGCGACGCGTTTCTGTGCGCGGCTGTCGCGTACAGTGTCAGTCGTCTGTGCGTGAAGTGGACTCAGAAGCGCTTACCTTCGAGCCCAGCGGTCTCGACTCGGTCGCGGGGCGAGTCTGCCGCTCGCGGTGAGGTGCAGGCGGCCGCGGCGAGGTTGATCTGAGGTGAGCAGTATGTGTGCTCATAATCGGCGACGAGGTGACTCACCGTGTGCAGGATAGCTCCAGCGGCGCGTACTGAACGCCGTTCGCGCATACTAGCCATGTCCACGCGACAAGTCGACGGCGGGCGTTCGACGGATTGTCGCCTCGGATGTGCACGGATACGCCCTCGGACGCCCCCGCCTCAGGACAGACTCGTCCCGAGGCGCGTCTACGTACCGCGACGGGCCGCGCACGATGTGCACGAAAACGCGGAGAGCGCGGGGTCGTACTGGGCCTGTTGTGAGCCTGTGTGCTTGTGCGCGCGGAGCTCGCTGCAGCCTTTCATCGTGCCGCTCTCCCCCTGGCGATGTAGACGTACCTGGTACTGCTACACCCGCCCCAGAACCGTCTGCTCCAGGCATACCCCGCCGCCTCGCCTCGGCTACGCTCCCCTTGCTCGTCTTGCCTCGGCGTCGTTGGGTGCGAAGACAGCATCGCTCTCGCGACATCGCACTGAAAGCAACAAGGTCAGTATGATCTCACAGGGCCTTGGTCCCGGCCACTGTACTCACAGCTATCGTTTCGGTTCTGTAGGTCCTGGTAAGCGTCATGGCGGCGCAGCGGAGGGGGCCAAGTCCTGGACCATGGTTCTGACGACGAGGAATTGGTGACAGGGAAGGAGGTAAGTATCTGGAGTTCGGGGAGTTCACTCACTCACTGTTTCGAGTCCCCTCGAGTCTGAGCAGTGCTCTGTGACACGTACAGGCTCCGTGTGGCCCTCGTCTCGATCGGCCTGTGTGTACCAGACTCGCTCGCCATGGGTGGCGTCGAGCTGGACATTGCGCGCTGTGATGAGCACTGCAGAGCGGAGTCAGCGACTGTGCTAACAATGTGTTTGCACCTCACCGGGGTTCACCAGAGTGGAGGAGGAAATATGAATAGGGACAGCGGGGTGCGAGCAGCCTGTGGGCGGCACCCGGAGAGGCTGCGCGAGGGGAGGAGGAGGGCTAGGAACGGGCGAGGGAGTGACGGCGCGGAGGGTGAAGAGTGAGTACGCTCGCGTCGCGTCCAGTGCTGTACTTATACCGCCGTGGTTTAGGGCCGCCCCGTCGTACGATGGCCCGTGCACCAACGTCTACCGGAGCCAAGCAGTCCGCCGCCCCATGGAAACGAACACGACACCCCAACCTTACGAGAGCACCGGAGAGGGCACCGAGCCCGCTCAACGGTGCACCAACCACAGAGCGACACGAGCCGAGCGCAACGGGGTCAGCGGAGATGGGTGCATACGGACGAGCCGCGGGAGGGCGAACTTACTTACGCGGCGCGGTGCGATTCCGCGTTCAAGCCGCGTTGGTCTCGAGGGACGGGCTCGCTTCGGATAGTGGGCGCTCGGTACACAGATGACTGCCCTTGTTTCAGGTGGGCACGGGCGTCGCCGCCGTGGGCTAGATGTTGTATCGTCTAGCGAGTCCATTCCGTATCGGACGAGGGTGGAATGACGCTGACGCCACACAGGTATCCGGGAGGCCCAGCAGGGGACGGCGATATCAGGTCCAGGGAG